TGTGTGTGTTTGCATGTGTGGTATGTGTGTCTATTTGTGTGTATTTGTATGTGGTGTGTGTGTGTGTGTCGTCCCCAGGCTACTCTGGCGTGACGTGTCAGAGCGCGCTCAACATGTGCCGCACCAAGCCCTGCGTCAACGGACTGTGCGTGAGTCGTATCAGCGGCTACTTCTGTGACTGTGCGGGCACAGGTAGGTTGTAGGTGGTTGGTGGGTGCTATGTGGGTGGTTGGTGGGTGCTGCATGGGTGGTTGGTGGGTGCTTCTGTGACTGTGCGGGCACAGGTAGGTTGTGGGTGGTTGGTGGGTGCTACGTGGGTGGTTGGTGGGTGCTACATGGGTGGTTGGTGGGTGCTTCTGTGACTGTACGGGCATAGGTAGGTGCTGGGCGGCTGGTGGGTGTATCAGTGGGGTGGTTGGTGGGTGTATCAGCGGTTACTTCTGTGACTGTGCGGGCACAGGTAGGTTGTGGGTGGTTGATGGGTGTTGCCTGGGTGGTGGGAGGGTGCTCTTTAGATTAACGCTAACACATAATAAGCAGACGTGCGTCCCATCACAGCGCAATCAGTGACGATACGCACGTCACATTATGAATATATTATTATATGAGACGACTATGAATAAGAAGGACTAACTATCGAGATGGCATTTCATAAGGTATGTTTTTAAACTGATTTTAAGTTTTGCTTTCGACTTTGTACGGTATCCCTCATAATGTATTAAGGAAAAGAGTTTCAGAGCTGTGTATGCATTGTCACAATCTGTATTTGTATATTTTATAAGGATGTTGTCGGAGATCTCCCTCCCCCCCTTGTTGTTTTGCTTGTTGTTTTTATTAGGCGCTGTTGCTATTTTTGTGCCTGTTCTCTTCTTTTGCAACGCTATGGATGTTGTATTTTTATGGCTGTTAAATGTTTCTGCCGTTACAATTCTTGTTGCTTTCGTCGTTTTGACGGTGTTTCCTGACTGTTGACTTTTCCCTTACTTGTGGGAGACTAACGGTTTTTTTTTTTGGTTTTTTTTGTTTTCAATTTCGTTTTCTTTTTTGGTACCAAATTTTGTTGGGTTTTTTTTTTGGC